CTTTCTTCTTGGCATCCAAGCAGGGCAGCAGCTTGGTTTGACAGTCATACAGAAGGGAAAGAAATCCCTTTAAAAAATGTGAGCAGCATCAGTCAAGAGCATCCTTTGCTGCAGGCTTGCCCGGGAGCACAGCATCCATCCCCCTTCCCCAGCTTCAGCCCTACTCAACCCCACACGAGTATCAGCAAAATGCATGGCAAAGTCGTGACAATCTTTCCCTGGAGCTGTTGAGCTGCAGTTGGTGGCTGCTCGCTTTGCCTCTGCCTGGAGCCACCCCCGAAGAACAGCCAGCCTCGGGCCATGTTTGATCATTTGTTTTGCAAAGAAATATTTCTGGGATACCTGTTGGATGTTTTCAGAGCGCTCTGCCTCCCCTCGCTGTATTTCAGACTCTGCTCTATGATATTGCTGCAGTGTCCTAGAGCTGAGGAGCTCTTTTGTCTTCTTTTGCTCTTCTCCCCTTAGGGCTTTCCAGCTCAGAGTCTTTCCCAGGCCTGAGACACCAGTGCCCAATATCTAGAGGTGCCATCAGGCTGCATTTTATGAAATGGAGTACCTGGAGTGAGAGAGGAGCATAAAAAAATGCTATTTCCATTTCACCACAGGTAGTGGTTTTGTGAGTGATGCCGGAATTTGAACTTTAGAAGAAAAATTAAAATTTTCCAGGGAAATCTTCGATGAGCTGATGTTACACTTTTCACTAACAAACACTGCTCTGAAGGAAATTTTTTCACCAGAGCTTGTGACTGATGATTGACTACACAACCTTCCCTCCTCCTGCCCTCCTTCAGGCCCATGGGTCATGGCTGCATCTAGATTTCTCCCACTCCTGGGAGCACCCAAGAAAAGGCATGGCTGGTGCAACCCTGTCATCCCTGCATGGCAGAAAGCTGCAAGTGTTTCTTCTGACTTGTTTTTATCATAAACTCTTGCATGTGGGAATGATCATCATTTGTGAAATGACAGAAAAGTCTTTGAGAAAAAAACAATGGCTCATAATTTGCATCTTCTTAATTTCTTCCTCCCTCCCTCCCTCCCTCATCCACTACAATCCCTTTTTTAAAAGTCCGACACAGCAACAATTCACAGAAATGTTTTAGACAGGTTTGTGCATGTATTTGGTAAAAACAAACAAAAATATGTGCATTCTGTTTCATAGAGCTTACATCAATCTGACAGAACTTTAATCACAAAACAGAAATACTCTGGCTAATAAATACATCTGGGGATGAAAAATAAAAATCTATACATAAAAAATTCCAATGTCTGCTAAAGAAAATGTACACTTATATACACACTGTAAACAATAGTGATGCAACCCAACTGCAGTCCAGATCAGGCTGACAGGGACCTTCCTCCCCCCTTAAATGGGACTCGAGAGAATCTACTGACGTAAAAGCTGCTGTTCACCATCCTGCACACAAGGTTTGTCGAAGCAGCAAAGTCTGATGATGTAATAGTCACAGAAAGCCAGCGTAATGAAGTGAGAAGTGCTGGGGAAACAAGGTATGGGTGCTTTGGGAAATGACCTGCTTGGCAAATTTGGAGAAATGGGCCCATACTCTCGGCTGGTCACACCCTGTAGGTCGAGAGAAGTCAGTGGGATCAGACCAAATTTACCTCCTGAAGATCTGAGCCTGTTTTTCCAAACTTGGAGAACTTGGAGATCAAGGGAATCAGAGAGAAATGCACAATTTTAGATACTCAGGTCATATTTCATACAATATTGTCCTTCCTCCCCTGACAGCAAAGGAGGCCCTGTCTACTCTAAAGGAAGCTCTACACAGACAGCCTCAGAGCCCAGCCCTGGCTTTGCCTCTTCTGATGCAAGATGCTAAATGAAGGGCTGGAGGGAAGGCGGGAGCTGGCTGAGGTGAGAAACAAGTATTTTGCTTGAACGCAGCACAGCAGAGCTTGACTTTCCTACAGCACCTTCTAGGGTATCTCTTGGGAACTGCTCAAATGCAAGTACATTGCAGCTGCAGTGGAGGAAAGTAAATGAACCAGAGTTTGGGCATTTATGAGTGTGTATGCATACTTGTGCTTAACAGACTTTATCCTCATTTTCTCCCTTGTCAGTCTGTAAAGAATTGCAATGGCAAGGCAGTAAACCCCCAGAATAATCTTTCTTTCCCTTCTGGATGCTTTCAAGGGGCTGGAGGCTATAAATGTAAGTGTTTTGAAATTGAAAAAAAAAAAAAAAAAGGTAGTATATTTAAAAGATTAGGGAGAAGTAAGCAATAATTTCAACTCATTCTTGGGGATAAAGTGCTTGCCAGCAATTGCTAAAAGCCCCTGCAAAGTCTCCATTTATAGGAGAATATCTGCCATTTTGGAGATGATATTTGTATATATAAATGTAGTAAAGTGTGTATCTGTATGGTCTGTGGGTGTCTAGCTGTGGAAAGACAGCAGGTAAATCTGCTCCTGAGTATCAGAGAGCATTTAACGGCAAATGCCCATCTTCCCCTTGACTAGACTTTCACTGCTGATGGTATCTGTATCAGCTCATCCTAAACTGTGTCCCCAGACTGCTTACATTATGCACTTGCATGTGTTAGATCTTCAAAGCGTCACCAGAACAGGGGCCAAAGGTGCAGATCCAGGTGCATTTAGCCCCTCTGAGAGTGGCAGGTATGCACATGCATCACAAAAGCTGAGCAGAAGCTGGTAGGATTAGTGCTTTCACCTTGACCTTCCAGGTATCTCTGCTCCTCACTGACTGCCCTCTCCCTGATGCCTTCTCTGCTATGTCCCCTCTGCCAGCAGTGTGCTCTCCCATCAGGATCCCAAAAATCCTCAGGAAACCAGTGGCAGTCTTTAAACTGCAAAATGACTTTCTGTGTCACCCCGTCATCACTGTAGGGTCTCAATTCCCCTGAAGGCCAAAGAAACAGGGAGAAAAAGGATGCATTTCCCCACAGAGGTTCCCATGGGGTTTTGGGCCCTTGCTTTGGTAGGGTTGAACCTCCCAAGCTGTCAGCCTCTGGTTGATTTTGCAGACACTTGTCAGCTGCAAAAATAGTGGCAGTAATGAGTGTGGGTTCAATGTAAGTGCAGTGCTGCCCGTGTGCCTTGGTGGGATTCGCTGCTGGGAGGAAAATATTTGGACAAAACCTGCAGGTCTTTGTACAATAATTCATCCAGTTCAGAGTCTTGCATTGCGTAAAGGGCAGAAGGGTGTTAGGGGTGTTGACATAGGACCAACTCCAGATGTCACGTCTCAATATGCACTGTATAAAAAAGTAAAAGAAGTCCTCTGTTTCAATTTGTTTTAAAGCAAATGAATAGCAGAAAGAAAGGTGACATTCTCTTTGCTATGCCTAGGAACCTTTCATCTCCTTTGATAGCCACCCTTAACAGGATTAGTGGATGTGCTGTAAGCATTTTCATGAAAGCCTCCTAATGGGTTTGGAGAACAGTGCTGATGTAGATGAGTTTCCATCCAGGACACATTCAGTGTCATGTCTCCACCCCTTGACTTTCTGTTCCTGTTCTTTACTCACCTGGCTTGAGACCCTGCTCCTCAGATTCAGACTTTTCCTCCACCACCAGAGGTGTCTCACGCCTCTGCCCACGGCTAAATCTAATTGTATCTCTTTGTGGTTCATTGACCATCTGAAATGTGGCAAAACCTGTGCTTGAAATACATGTCCAAGCAGATTTTGGGCAATAACTTCTCTGAGTTGCAAAGCATGGTTTTTGTGAGCCTGGCTGAGATGGACCTGTCATGGCTCCAACCTCCCTCTGGTCCCCAGAGGAGGCCACGGTGACCTCCTGAGGGGAACTCACACTGTGAGAAAGGCAAAAAAATCCTCTTATCAAAATTGCTTTTGATCATGCTAGCAGACATATCCAAGGGCAATTGTTGATAGCCACCAAAGGCTTTGATGTGTCAGACATGTGGGAAGCCACTTGGGAGAAGAGTCATGGACATGACCCTAACTGGGGAGAAGATGCATCTACACAAGAGAGTTCCAACTGCACATCAGCTCTGTTTTAGCTTTGACCCTCTGGGTGGTAGAAACGGGCCCAAACCTCAACCATCCCACCTTTCCTGAGTCAGGTTAAGTATGGACCTGAGTGAAGTACCTAGGATGCATCTTTATTCCGTGTTGTTTGAGAGAGACAACAACCAGAGCAAGAAAAGGAGAGAAAAAGGTCAAGGATGACAACACCAAAAGGAATTGCTTTCTCTCTGTATCACAGAGGGATGTGCACTAGAGCAAGGCGGGTTGCAAGTGTTTCACTGGAAAGTGAAATGAGAAATGTGTCACAGGTTGGACTTAGAGAAGAGACCCGCACATCCATTGGCATCAGCATGTACATCTGAACTGCTCCTCTGGCCAGAAACCAGGTTACATGGAAGGGGAAAAGCTGTGGTCACTGCAGACATGATGGCTGAGAACCAGGATCTCCCCATCCTGTATGGGAATACCACAGTCTGCTCAACCCCCAAAGCAAAGGCTGGAGGCCCTGTCCACCTCTGTAGACCTACAAGCTTCCAGCCCATTATCTAATGGATCAGCTGCCGGCTACTGCTCGGCAGTGTCCTTTCTGGGTGTTGCCTCTGGATGGAAACATGATCACATATACTAAGGCAGGGTTGGCATCTTTTGGGGATTGATTTGATTTTGTGGTGGTGTTTTTAAGGCAAAAGAGACAACCTGGTTTCCCTTAATTGCACAACTTCTTCCAAAGTTACCAAAGATAACCATCCAGTGGAGGAAACAGCTCTTGTCCTAGGGCCATATCCACCCCACATCTTCTCCCCCTGCCGAGGCTTATTAAAATGGGATATACCATTGGCTCTTATCTGAGGAACCCATATCCCAGAGAATGGGCTGACCTCCATGTGGTGGATGCTTGTATAACCTTTGGGCAACTGCATTTTATACCTGATTGCTGCTTCCAGTCTGCCTGACAGACCCACAGATGGTATCCCTTCATGTTTCTGCTAGATATGTCTAAAGAAACCATTGACAGCTGTCCCAGTGATTTCAAATATCTGTTTCTCGCAGCCCGCAGCAGTCTGTCAAGTCATATGTTTGATAGTCAATGGTTTCTGCGAAGTCATGAGGGATCCCGATAGAGACAGACTCCACCTCTGTTTTGTAGGTGGCTGTTACCCCCCCTTTGCTGGACCCACCCCGGATTTTGTTGGAAAGGCTGTTCATCTTCTCTTTCAGCTGGGTAGATGCTGGTTTCTGGAAAGGAGTGAGCATTTTCCAGCCCTTGAAGCTGAGTGTTCGCCTCTTACCGGCTCTCTCCTGCAAGGAGGAGTTAAATATGAATGAGCTGTTCAGGGTGCTAATCCTGGGCCTCATGTCCGTCTCAGAGTCCTGCACCGAGCTGTTCATGGAGGCCCCTCGCCAGTGGTGGTCGTAGACACGCCAGATGGGCCGTCTTCTCCGGTGGCACTGGCACTTGAGCAGCCTAATGAAGGCTCGCTTGAACTCTTTGCTGGAGCAAGGGTAGATGATGGGGTTCACGCAGCTGTTGAAGTATCCCAGCCAGAAGATGACCTTGAAGACCATTTCAGAGGGCTTCAGAGATGGGAAGAAAGAACCTTGGAAGAGATAAAAAAAAACGTGGTTAGAGGAAGGGGAAGGGTATGGCAGCACAGGGTAGAAAGGGCGGTGGTCAGCCCAGCCCACAAAAGGCGAGACCTGCAGAAATGGCTGAAGGTCTGATGCTGCTGTTAGCTCCTTGGCTAGCAATGCTGTTGCCACCAGAGTGAAGGTCTGGCCACTGCAGGACCTCAAGACATCAACCCTAAAGTGATAATGATGAGTGATGGTCGTCTTTGGCAGGAACGTCCTAGCCCCCACTGTGAAAGGGTTCACAGCAAAGGACTCAGCACCCTAAATGCAGCTGTGAGCCATCATGGTAAGCCCATACAGCTTGGGGGAGGCTGTTAATTGCTGCAGCAGCTACACAAGCATGAGAGGCAGGGAAGGCGGAGGATTTTTCTCACAACTCTCTCCTGACCACCATCCAGCTAACCCCGCCTAGTCCAGCACACACTACGTTTTGAAGGAGATCCACTCCAGAAGATAGATTCAAAGTCCTGCTGCAGGAGCCAACATCCCTATGGCCAACCTGTTTCCCTTACTGTGGGTTCAGCTATCCTGCTCTGAACTGATGCAGAAGACTTGCACTCAAGAGGTATCCTCCATATCTGGGAGCTGGGCTGCTTTCTGACACCTTATAGCAGGAGCTGAAGGCATAATTTTGGGTAACAGGTTTAATGGTCCCCTTGGTCCCCCATTAAACCAATGGTTTAATGTCCCATTCCAGATCAAAAGGAGAAAACTGTTGCTTGGCTGGATTGCAGGGAGCTGTTCTTGGTGCCTGCCTCTTCCTACGTGCTGCGCTGCACAGTCTTCCACTGCAACACAGAAGGATGGATACAGCCCTGTCAGCTGCACTGATGGAAGAGCAACACACCTTCACCTCCTACCCTCAGGTATTTTGTGCCATCAATCTCATATACCCTCTGTTCAAATTTTACTGTGATGCTAAGGCAGACCCTTAAAGTGAGCTCAGATAATATCCACTGCCTCAAGCTCGTACCTGCTACTTGAAAATTTTTTATCCACCCCAACCCCTATTTATGCTTTTGTGCTTGAAGGTTCCCGGCGGTTTTCTTGGTGAAAAAGCTGGGGATTTTTTTTTCAGCCAGGAGGTGTCAGTATTGCTCCCATCACTCAGCGTTCCCCACTCGGATCTGAAATAACTTTCTGACTCAGCCTTAATTTCTTTTAATTTTAGCTCTGGATGACAAATCGTGCTGCCATGTGACTGAGCATTAATTTGTATTTTAGTAAATAACATTAGCTCTGGATATCATTATTATTTTCCCTGTGCTCAAAAGCTTGGTGTCAAAACAGTAAAACAGGTGCCAGGAGGCAGAAATTTGGGACTGACACTACGTAAATGCTCCCCAAGCTGTTTGCTGGAGAAAAAGACATCATCCAGGAAACCCAGAGCACTGGTTCCAGTAAAGCTTTCTTACACCCGTGCCTAAAAAGTCTGAAATGACAGCCAGACACATCATTAGGTATGTGGGCTACTCCATCATGGAGACGTGGGAGAATAAAGACAGATCTCAGCGTTTGCTGATAGCTAGGCAGGGAAAGCACAGAGGCAGCCATGCAGCTGAAATATCTGCCGACGGCCACCCCGAGTCGCAGGGCTGGAGTACACGCTGGCTGTTGGTGTGTGCGGAAGGAGGCACTGGATAAGGACAGTAAGCAGGACTGACATCTCTCTGCTGAAAAGACCTGGGGCTCCCTGCAGATAGCAGCATTTGCAGTTTAATGAGCAGCCACTGGTGGCTTTGAACCATGGGCACTGGGGTTAGGGGTTTGCAGAGGCAATGACCCCACCTTAGCTATTTTTTATTAAAGGGGTTTAATCCTTCTGGGGCGGTGGTGAGCTTTATAGGTTGGTGCTAGGCTGCTTGGATGTGGTGGTGCTCACCACATCCAGTTCTAACACACCACCCCTGAGTGTTTAGCCAGGAGTTTTTAAACACCTCGGTGGTGCTGAGAACAGTCCCCCTTTGAGTTGCATATAGCATCTCCTCCGTTCTCCCTCCAGCCATGACTTTGAGCCTCCACCCTTTCTCCAACTGCCCCCAACCCACCACCCTGGTCCTACAGGCACCACCTGATGCCTTGGGCAATGTGGACTAGAAGCGGGTTTCCAATCCTGGCATCAATTCCTCTCCTCAGTCTCAGGCTCGGCAATATTTGATGGGTCTGTTTTCCTGCCCGTGCTGCCATCCCTCTCCATCCTGCCCAGGGACCAGCCTCCACGCAGAGCCCTGCGCTCTCTGCAAGTGGATCCCTGGCTGTCAGCCCTAAGACATTGTATTGTCCCAGCTTGACCCTGCTGTAGTTCAGTGTGAGCATTTGGGTCTGATACAGGTAAAGGAGCTCATTAAGCATGTGATCCTGCTCATAGCTTTGTTGGGGAGATTTTCCGTGCCTCAGTTTCCCCTCTGGAGAAGGGGGCTAATTACCATAATCCCTTTCACAAGGCTGTTGTGAACCCTGCTTGCAGTGTGTGCTGGGTTCTCAGAGGCGCTGCAGCTTTATGTAGCATTTTTTAACTTCAAAAGAGAGGAAAAAAATCCAAAAAGCTATGGTAACAAAGCAAATAAAAGAAGGGTCTCTTTAGAAATGAGACTAGTAATTACTGCTTGAGCCAGGCTACTTAAGAGATTGGTGCTTGCTTAAACAGCCTGACTGTTGTTAAAATAATAAGTTATATCTAGTGTTTAGCAGTTCATTGCACAATGAGGTTTCTGTACTAAGTGCTTTGTCTTTTACATCCAGATAAAAAAATGCAAATTGAAAAGAAAAAAACCCCTATGAATTCCCTGATTTTCAACTTTGGCTGTTTTTCACCCGCTAGAACCTTGTGTACGTCTGAAGACAAGGGGCTCATTACCATCCTCATTACCATGCAAATAAGTGTGCCCCTTGGAAGATGTGTACTGAGTGCATCCGTAGTTTCCTCAGTTCATCACACTGGGAGGAACAGAACTAGGCAGAGAGTCCCCAGAACAGGTCCTCGGCTGGTAACTTCGTACATGCTGGAGCACCAGACTCTCTTGGTAGGCAGTGAGAGGCTGCACGTAAGGAAGAGTTGTGGGGCTTTATTTAGGGAATGAGTAAAGAATGGAAGAAAATAGCTCTTGCTTTTACACATACTAATATGCATCAACATTTCTAGAGAGGGAGAGTTTTTGGACTGGGCTTTGTAACAGTGTCTATATAGGAGCACAGATGTAGTTTGGGTGTGTGGAAGAGAGTACTGGGTAATGGACACTTGAATAGCTCAGGAAACACTGTCAGATGCTTCCAAATTCCAGAAATAGAAAATGGGTGTAAAACATCAGGTGTAGCAACACAGAGTGATGCACCAGCACTTCAGCCTGATATCTCAGTGTAAGAGCACTTTTTGATGATCTGGCCTCAAAAGCATCAAAGCCAGAGCAGGGCACTATCAAAGAACAGGAAGCCCAAATGTTGTAGGACCTGTGTCACATTACAGTTTTGTGAAATATGGTCTTGTTTCAAAGAGGAACTCTTCCTACTCACTCAAAATAATCTCTCTGGAAATCTCTCTTGGGCATCCAGCTTAACACTTCACAGCAAAGCTTAGTGTACTTTCCAAAAGGGGAGGTGTTGGCACCCGGCTTGGGACATCCACCTGTGAGGTAGTCTTCGTGTGGTGAGCAGTGCAGTATGTGTGCTGGGATCCAGAAAACCCTGCCACACTGGAACATCTAGGACCCCAGAGCCCTCATAAGGAGAGGATAATGGAGACATGACTTGCCCTGCTTCAGCGGGACTGCTGCTTCTGCTGCTAGTAGGGAGGCCTCCATCCAACCTAACCAAATCCACTTGTGAAGAACAGAGGCAGCCTGCTAAGTAAGGACAGACCTCTGAGATGCTCCTTCTTCATCCTGGCTGCCTACCCAGTGACATCTTCTCCCCTGGTGGTTGTAGGATCTGGTTGTATGTTGGTGTAGGATGCTCCCAGGTAGGGTGGGATGCAGCTGCCTTGTTGAGAAGGCTCTGTGTTGGCTTATGGAGATCCTGCTGAGGACTTTGTCTTCTCCTAATAGACATAATTTTTATAACAATACTACTGGAGTCTAGGAAGTCTGTTTGAGGACTTTATACATTTTGTCATTTTATAAAAGGCCATTTCACATCTTGCAGAATCTGAATCCTAGTGATGGAGCTGGGTCTGAGCAAGGACTGCAGATCCTGATGTAACCCTAGATAATTGCCTTCAGGATCATTAAGAAATCAAGCAAGCTGCAGGTGAGCTCAGGGAAATCCTGCCCCCACACTGTAAAGTGACTGGAGTCAGAGCCTAAACATGATATGAAGATTGAATTTCATTTTTTTTGGTGGTGTACAGATTGAGCCAATATGGTATGTGCTCTGAAGTGAAAATAAAGAAGTAATTTATTGGTATTCTTACAGGGTGAGTATATGTCTGTGTGTGTAGGATCTGCATATGCATGTGTATATGGTGTGTGAGCCTACACATTTTTTTCCGAGGTAATGTCACCCTGCTCCTATCTGGGGAAAAAATCCAGCTAGCTACAAATCTCTGAAGCCATGGGCATGTTCCCCAAAGCTGTGACACCCTGTGTTGGGTGGCTAGTGGATGCAGTGTCCCCTCTACATATCTGAACACATATCCCATTTTTTTAGTTTTTTTGAGCAAGAACAATCTCATGATCTTTCCTTGTCTGTACTTCTCCACCCTGCCCTCCCCATGACTCACTTGAAGGTGATATCACTGGGTTGTTAGGAGAGTTGCTGGCCTCAGTGTTCAGCGCTCAAAAAAAATAAAGCAAAACAAGAAAAAAGACAAATGCAGAAATGAAAATGGACCCTGTCCAATCTAAATTCTGGCCCCGGTTCCCAGTACGCAACCAGAATCTGTGAGCAGGCTTGCTTTCTGCCGCAGTTGGCAGAGACATCTTTGTTTTAAAAGGTCCCTGCCTTACAGCATGTCCTGAATAGTCCAACGCAC